ATCTCGACTTATTTACATGTATATAATAATTGATGCATTGTTCTTCACAGCAGCACTCGGTGAGATTCATTTGTGTGGATGATGATGAGTATCTTATTTGTGTAAAAGGGCTAAAGATCCTACAGATCTGTAAGTTGATATTTTATTATCTATGAAAGTAATGTTTTAGATATATTAGATACTTTGATAAGTTATTGAATTCAAATAACTTTTGCATTGTGATAAATAAATGTAAGCACAGGGACCAATTAATAAATATACAGGGACGACTGTATCATTGAGTAATGGCTTGCTATGATTAAGAACTATGAACATAGCTATGAACTCTGTTACTGATATAATTGGAGATGTATAAATAGTTGTGGGTTCGAACCATGAGTTTGTTTGGGTATTTCACCTCCTCAAGGTAAAATGTATATTTATTATGAATGATATAAAAGAGAGATAACTCTTTATATGACTTATAAGAATCTCCATCATTTGGTTAGGATTGTTACTATTTATTATTTCAGTGCCTACTTTGCTCACATGCTTACATGATTACGTAAATGTACAATGTAGTACTGTACACGGATGGTTTACAAGATGTACCGGTATACTTTGTGAATATGATGAACTGTTATAAATAACGTAAACATTTGTCAATAAACTACATATGATCGAACCTGAAGAGAATATTTGTATATATTGATACCCCCTGAAGAGATAACCAAAATAACATATATTTCGTCTTTCTCTCCAGTGCATTGTTATATCATCTTTTTCTCCAGTTTTTATTATTAGATCATCATCTTCTCAAGTGTGTATTATTATATCAACTTTCTCTCCAGTATATATTATCATATAAGAAGTCTCTCCAGTGTGACTTATCATGTATCTTCTCTTTCCAGTGTGTGTATCATATTATATTATCATATTATCATTTTCTCTGGTGTATACTATTATATGATCATTCTCTTCATTATTATATCAACATTCATTCTAATATGTGTTATGATATCATTATTCTCACCAGTATGCACTATGATATCCTCTGCCTCTACAGTGTGTATTCATATATTATCATTTTCTCCAGTATCTATTATTATATCATAACTTTCTTTAGTATGCATTGTAAGGTAGTGGGAAAGGTAGGTAAGAAAGTAGGTAATGTTTGTAAGGAGTTAAGAGAAAGGATATACTTCGAGTAAGCTTCTGGGTTAAGGTGAGTAAGGGGTAAACAGTAAGGTACTAGGTAAGGTAGTGTGAAAGGCTGATATGGTACTGGGTAACGCAGCGTTGGTAAGTTAGTGGGTAAGGTACTAGGTAAGGTAGTTCAGTTAGTGAGTAAGATGGGTAAGGTAGTGGGTAATGTTCGTTAGGGGATAAGAGAAGGGATATGCTTCAAGTTACTTTTTTGGTTAGGATGAGTAAGGGGTAAAGAGTAAGGTAGTTAGAATGGTATGTAAGGTAGTGTTTAAGGTGTGTTTAGCACTTGGTAACGTACTAAGAAATGTAGGTAACGTAATGCTTAAGGTGCTTAGTAAGGTAGGTAAGGTAATGGGTAAGGTTGGTATGTTATTCGGTAATGTTTGTAAGGGGTTAAGAGTAAGGATATGCTTCAAGTGAGCTTCTGGGTTAGGGTGAGTAAAGGGTAAACAGTTAGGTACTAGGTAAGGTAGGAACAGTAGTGTGTAAGGTTAATATGGTGCTGGGTAACGTATTGAGTAAGGAAGGTAATATAGTGTGTAAGGTTGGTAAGGTAGTTGGTAATGTTGTAAAGGGTAAAGTGTAAGGATATGCTTCAAGTAAGCTTCTTGGTTGGGGTGAGTAAGAGATAAACAGTAAGGTGGTAGCTAAGGTAGTTTGTTAGGCAGATATGGTACTTGTTAACGTACTGAGTAAGGTTGGTAACGTAGTGGGTAAGGTGGGTAAGGTGCTTGGTAAGGTAGGTAAGGTATTAGGTAATGTTGGTTAGGGGTAAAGGGAAAGGATATCTCTCAAATAAGCTTCTTGGTAAGCATGAGTAAGGGGTAAACAGTTAGGTACTAGGTGAGTTACTTAAGGTAGTTTTAAAGGTTTGTATGGTACTGGGTAAGGTACGGTTTAAGGTAGGCAAGGTAGTGGGTAAGGTGGTAACGGTACTAGATAAGGTAGGTAAGGTAGTGGGTAAGGTTGGTAATGTAGTTTGTAATGTTGGTAAGGGGTTAAGAGTAGGATTATGATTCAGGGAAGGTTCTGTGATAGGATGTGTAAGGGGTAAACATTAAGGTAGATAAGGTAGTGTGTAAGGTGGGTATTGTACTTGGTAACATACTAAGTAAAGAATGTAAGGTAGTGAGTAACATGTGTAAGGTAGAAGATAAGGTAGGTTGGGTAGTGCTTAAGGTGGGTAAGGTAGTTGGTAATGTTGGTTAAAGGTTAAGAGTAAGGATGTGCTTCAAGTTAGCTTCTGGGTTAGGTTGTGTAAGGGGTAAACAGTAAGGTACAGGATAAGGTAGGAAAGGAAGTATGTAAGGTTGGTATGGTGTTAAGTAATGTACTGATAAGGTAGGTAAGGTAGTGAGTAAGGTACTAGGTAAGGTAAGTAAGGTAGTGGGTAAGGTGGGTAGTGGTTAATGTGGGAAAAGTAGTGAATAATTTTGGTAAGGGGTTAACAGTAAGGATATGCTTCAAGAAAGCTTCTGGGTTAAGGTCAGTAAGGAGTATACAGTAAGGTACTATGTAAGGTAGGTAAGGTAGTGCTTAAGGTTGATATGCTACTGGGTAATGTACTGAGTAAGGTTGATAAGGTAGTTGGAAAGGTACTAGGTAAGGTAAGTAATGTTGTGGGTAAGGTGGGTAAGGTAGTTGGAAAGGTTGGTAAGGTAGTGGGTTATGTTGGTAAAAGGTTAATGGTATGGATATGCTTCAAGTTATCTTCTGTTTAATGGGGGTGGTATGGTACTGTGTAAGGTTCTCGGTAAGGTAGGTAAGGTGGTGTTTAACGTGGGTATGGTACTGGGTAAGGTTTTGTGCATGGTAGGTAAGGTAGTGGGTAAAGTGGGTAAGGTACCATGTAAGGTAAGTAAGGTTATGGGTAGGGTAGATAAGGTAGTAGGTTAGGTGGATATGGTGGTGGGTAATGCTTGTAAGGTGTTCATAGCAAGGATATGCTTCAAATTATCTTCTGGGTTAGCATGTGTAAGGGGTAGACAGTAAGGTTCTGGGTAAGGTAGGTAAGTATTTGTGTAATGTTGGTATGGTACTAGATAAGGTACTTAGGTAGGTTAGGTAGTGTGTAAGGTGGGTAAGGTACTAGGTAAGGTAAGTAAGGTAGTTGGTCAGGTAGGTAAGGAAGTGGGTAAGGCTTTGGGTAATGTTTGTAAGGTGTTAAGTGTAAGGATATGCTTTATTTAAGCTTCTTGGTTTGGGTAAGTAAGGAAAAACAGTAAGTTACATTGTAAGGTAGGCATGGTAGTGTGTAATGGTGGTGAAGTACTTGGGAACACACTGAGAAAGGTAGATAAGTTAGTGTGTAAGTTTGGTTAGGTACTAGGTAATGTAGGCAAGGTAGTGTGTAAGGTTGATTACATACTACGAGGGATGATCAAAAATTAACCGGACTTTGTAAATGATTCTTAACCTATTAAATGAATTTACATAAAAATACACGGAACATAAATCGGAATCTATCCCCTAAATGATACAAAAATACCAACAAGAAATATAAACAAATAAAAAAGTTATGCTGTTATTGGCATGTACATGTAAAGCAATGCGGCGCACGGTATAACTTTGAAATTGACGTTAACGACGTCACAAGCGTATTTTCCTTAACGGAACAGTTTTTACTCATTCACGGAGTAGGCCAATAAGTGGTACAGTCATGTTATTAATGCGGCGGATCTACTGCCTATAAATATTTCTGTACAAGTGGGTATCATATTGTATTGTAAAAGAATGGATGATGATAAAATGACGCAATGTAATGACACAAATTTCCGTTCTTTCCTTTTGTAACTTTATTGTTGGAAAAACTGCACATGCACTAAACTATATTATGTATTACAAATAATGTAAAATAATGTTGCTGAATGATAATGTATCATACAAAATAAAAAATAAAAGAATAATACAACTATGAACAAAATTGTCATTATTTTAAAATGAATAAAAAGCGTAGCCGATTTTGAACAGTGACTTTCTAATTGTTGACACAATTTCTCCAAAAACTACTGCGTAAAATAAGAAAATAATTGAAACAATTGTAAACCAAGAATACAATATATGTAATTAATGCATTAACTATTATCATTTTAAAATCCTTAGAGTTGACTGCACCGTCCCGTAGCTACAGTCGAACATCGTTGACAATGTCCGCAGTCAATCGACTGTCATTTTTCAACGTCTTGGCGATTGACGTCACCAACGTCCTTGAAAATTTCTTTTTTCTGTCTCTCCCTTACTTGTTTTCTATTTCTTTATTACACATCCTTAATCTTTTATGCTAATCAAAAAATATGCTGTGGCTTTCTGGAACTTTTCCCTTGATAGCCATAATCTTTTTCTACGTTTTAAACAGTTTCTCGTCTTACTTCTGACAAATTTTTCTTATTGATCGATTTTCGAGACATTCCGACGACATAGTTTTAACGGGAGTTTTTCATTAACATGTGACGTTTGAATTGTGATTGCGAATATAAATATGATTTAAATGAAGTCATTTTTACTGACAACGTCAAAGATATGGCTCATGACGTTTTGGCGTATTTTGAAATCTAAATGTGTCATATTTCTAAATATACGCAGCTTAAAGCGCCTGATTTCAAGGCGAATTTACGCACTGCGCTGGGTGTGCGTTACCATGGTTTTTGAATTCGCTGTTACGGACAAGTTTTTTGCGTTATCAGATTAGATAAAGCATCAGTTTACAGGTATTGTTTTCCGATTAAGTGTGATATATAACAATAAATGATAGGTTGAAAATTCTTCAATTGACAGTCACAGTCCGGTTTATTTTTGATCATCCCTCGTATATAAGGTAAATAAGGTAGTGGGTAAGGTAGGTAAGGTAGTGGGTAATGTTGGTAAGACTTTAATAGTAAGGACATGATTCAAGCTATATTCTGGGTGAGTGTAAGGGGTAAACAGTAATGACGTTGGTAAGGTAGGTAAGGTAGTGTGTAAGGTGGAAATGGTTCTGGGTATTGTGCTGAGTAAGGTAGGTAAGGTAGTTGGTAAGGTGGGTTAGATAGAAGGTTGGTGGGTAAGGTACTTGGTAAGGGAAGTAAAATACTTAGTAAGGTGGATAAGGTAGTGGGTATCGTTGGAAAGCTTCTTGGTAGTTTTGGTTAATGGTTAAGTGTAGCGATATGCTTCGAGGTAAGGTCGGCAGCCCAATGGATAGGCAAGCTTTGAAGGTTTCCTGTAGTAAGCTTTGTTACTAAAAATAAATTTCGCGGGTTTTTTAAGTACCTGCCATTCATTCTGTCTCTCATAGACGGCGCTTCACATATGCCTTCGGAAAACGCTACTGAGCAGATAAGCAGCAATTTGTTTAACAAGAAAGACCAATATAATAATCATATATCAATAATTATTTTGTGTTAACAATTCTGTGTTGGAATATTTCATTCACTTGGACAACAATCTTGTATGGGAATATTGTGTTGCAATATCTATATTGCTTTGGCATTTATTTTCTGTGGGAATATTGTGTTGGATTATTTCATTCAAATTTAAAGGTAATTACTTCAATAATTTATTATCTTACTTTAATCATATGTCATTGCTATTTACATGTATATACAATACAGATACAAATTTCATATGTATTCTAAACAGGAAAGCAAATGGGTTGGGCCCAAATTCTTACAATAAAAGCTGTCGGTCCTCCTCGGGGTCGTGCGTTAGATAGTATGTAACGTTGGTAAACTACTTTGCATCTTGGTTAAGGGTTAATTGAAAGGATATGCTTCGAAGTTAGGTCGGTGAGCTTCTGGTTAGAATGCGTAAGGGGTAAACAGTAAGGTACTGGCTAAGGTAGGTAAAGTAGTGTGTACGGAGGGCATGGTACTCGGTTACGTACTGAGTAAGGTAGGTAAGGTAACGTGCGTTATGTAGTGATTAAGGTGGTTAAGGTAGTTTTTAAAGTTGGTTAGCTTCTCAGAACCTTACTGTTTACCCTTTACTCACCCTAACCAAGAAGCTTACTTAAGGCGTATCCTTACTCTTAATCCCTTACCAACATTATTCACTACTAAACACACGTTTAATACTACCTTATCTACCTTACCAACTACCTTACTTACCTTTCTCAGCCAGTTACCCAGTACCATACCCACATTACACATTACCATACCTACCTTACACAGTTCCTTACCCAGTACCATACACACGTTACACAATACCTACCCTTCATTACCCAGAACCTTACCATTTACCACCCTATCCCAGAAGATAACACGAAGCATTTCCTTACTATTAACCCAATACTGATATTTCCCACTACCTTACCCACCTCACTCACTACCTTACCTAGTACCTTATCCACGTTATACACTACCTAACTTTGCTAACTTTCTCAGCAAATTACCCAGTACCATACCCACATTACACATTACCATACCCACCTTACGCAGTACCTTACTGTTTACCCATTACACACCTTAACCCAAATGCTTACTTGAAATATATCGTTACTATTAACCCCTTACCAACATTACCCACTTCTTACCCACCTTAGGCATAACCTTACCTACCTTGCATAGTACATAGTAAACTTGTCTTACACACTAACTTACCTACCTTTGTCAGTATGTTCCCTTGTTCTAAACCCACCTTACACACTACCGCAACTACCTAACCAAGTACCTTACTGTTTACCCCTTACACACCCTAACCAAGAAGCTAACTTGAAAGATATCCTTACTATTAACTCCTTACCAACATTACCCACTACCTTACCCACCTTACCCACTACCTTACCCACCTTACCCACTATCTTTACCACCTTACCCACTACCTTACCCACCTAATGCATAACCTTACCTACCTTGCATAGTACATAGTAAACTTGTCTTACACACTAACTTACCTACCTTTGTCAGTATGTTCCCTCGTTCTATACCCACCTTACACACTACCGCAACTATCTTACCAAGTACCTTACTATTTACCCATTACACACCCTAACCAAGAAGCTAACTTGAAAGATATCCTTACTATTAACTCCTTACCAACATTACCCACTACCTTACCCACCTTTACCACTACCTTACCCACCTTACCCACTATCTTTACCACCTTACCCACTACCTTACCCACCTAATGCATAACCTTACCTACCTTATATAGTACTTAACCCGTCTTCCACACTAACTTACCTACCATTCTCAGTATTTTCCCTCGTACTACCCACCTAACACACTAACGCACCTGCCTTACCAAGTACCTTACTGTAAACCCCTTACACACCCTAACCAAGAAGCTAACTTGAAAGATGTCCTTACTATTAACTCCTTACCAACATTACCCACTACCTTACCCACATTACCCACTACCTTACCCACCTTACCCACTATCTTTACCACCTTACCCACCACCTTACCCACCTAATGCATAACCTTACCTACCTTGCATAGTACATAGTAAACTTGTCTTACACACTAACTTACCTACCTTTGTCAGAATGTTCCCTCGTTCTAAACCCACCTTACACACTACCGCAACTACCTAACCAAGTACCTTACTGTTTACCCCTTACACACCCTAACCAAGAAGCTAACTTGAAAGATATCCTTACTATTAAATCCTTACCAACATTACCCACTACCTTACCCACCTTACCCACTACCATACCCACCTTACCCACTATCTTTACCACCTTACCCACTACCTTACCCACCTAATGCATAACCTTACCTACCTTATATAGTACTTAACCCGTCTTCCACACTAACTTACCTACCATTCTCAGTATTTTCCCTCGTACTATACCCACCTAACACTCTACCGCAACTACCTAACCAAGTATTCTTACTGTTTACCCCTTACACACCCTAACCAAGAAGCTAACTTGAAAGATATCCTTACTATTAACTCCTTACCAACATTACCAACTACCTTACCCACCTTACCCACTACCTTACCCACTTTACCCACTATCTTTACAACCTTACCCACTACCTCACCCACCTAATGCATAACCTTACCTACCTTATATAGTACTTAACCCGTCTTCCACACTAACTTACCTACCATTCTCAGTATTTTCCCTCGTACTACCCACCTAACACACTAACGCACCTGCGTTACCAAGTATCTTACTGTAAACCCCTTTTACACCCTAGCCTAGAAGATAATGTAAAGCATATCCTTATCATTAACCCCTTACTAACATAACCCACTACCTTACCTACCTTACCAACTAATTTACCCACCTTACCCAATAAATTATATACCATATTCCGTTCCTTACCCAGTAAAATATCCATCTCACACACTAGCTTACCTACCTTACCCAGAACCGTACTGTTTACCCCTTACACCCCCTTAACCCAGAAGCTAACTTGAAGCATATTCTCACTCTTAACCCCTTTAATACATTACCCACAATCTTACCCTTTTAGCCACTACCTTACCTACCTTACCTAGTACCTTACCCACCTTACAAACTACCTGACCTACCTTTCTTAGCACGTAAACTGGTACTCTTTACCCCTAACCATCATTTCCCACTAATTAAGCCACATTAACCACTACCTTATCTACCTTACCTAGTACCTTACCCACATTACTCACTTCCTTACCTTACTTGTCACCCAATACCAAATCTACCTTACACACTACCTTCCCTACCTTACCCAGTACCTTACTGTTTACCCTATATTCACCCTAACCCAGAAGCTCATTTGAAGCATATCCTTACTCTTAATCCCTTACAAACATTACCCACTAACTTACCAACCTTATCCAATACCTTACCTACCTTACCTAGTACCTTACTTACCTAACCCAACATACTCATTTCCTAACCAACCTTACTCAATACCATACCCAGTACTATACCTACCTTTCACACTACCTTACCTACTTAACCCAGTACCTTACTGTTAAGTAAGGTAGAGGGTCAGGTTGCTAAGGTAATGGGTAATGCTGAAAAGGGGTAAAGAGTAAGAATATGCTTCAAGTTATTTTCTGGGTTAGGGTGTGTAAGGGGTAAACAGTAAGGTTCTGGGTAAGGTAGGTGCGGTAGTGTGTAAGATGGATATATAACTGGGTAAGGAACTGAGTTAGGTAGGTAAGGTAGTGGGTAAGATGGGTAAGGTAGTTGGTAAGGTATGTGAGGTACTAAGTAAGGTAAGTAAGGTTGTGGGTAAGGTAGGTAAGGTAGTGGCTAAGGTGGGTTAGGTGGTGGGTAATGTTGCAAAGGGTTTAATATTAAGGATATGCTGCAAATTATCTTCTTTGTAAGGGTATGTATGGGGTAAACAGTAAGGTTCTGGGTAAGGTAAGTAAGGTAGCGTGTAACGACGGACTGGTACTGGGTAAGGTAGTAACTAGCGCAGGTAAGGTATTGTGTAAGGTGGATGAGGGACTAGATAAGGAAGGTTGAGATGTGGGTAAGGTTGGTCAGGTAGTGGGTATTGTTGGTAAGGGATTAAGAGAAAGGATATGTTTCATGTTTGTAAGCTTCTGGGTTACGGTGAGTAAAGGGTAAACATTAAGTTACTGGGTACTGTAGATGAGGTAGTGTTAAAGGTGGGTATAGTACTAGGGAACATACTGAAAATGGTAGGTAAGCTGGTGTGTAAGACAGGTTAGGTACTATGTTAGGTTGGTAAGGTACTGGGTAAGGTATTGGGTAAGGTGGATATGGTGGTGGGTAAGGTACTAGGTAAGGTAAGTAGGATAGTTTGTAAGGTAGGTAAGGAAGTGACTAAGGTGGTAATGTAGTGGGTAATGTTGGTAAGAGGTTAATAGTAAGGATATGTTTCAAGTAAGATTCTGGGTTAGGGTGTGTAAGATATAGACAGTAAGGCACTTGGTAAGGTAGGTAAGGTAATGTGTTAGATGGGTATGGTACAGGGTAACGTGCTGAGAAAGATAGGTTAGGCAGTGTGCAACGTGGGTAAGGTACAAGATTACCTAGGTAAGGTAGTGGGTGAGGTTGGTAAGGTAGTGGATAATGTTGGTAAGGGGTTAAACGTTAGGATATGCTTCAAATTATCATCTGGTTTAGGGTGTGTGAGTGGTAAACATTCAGGTTCTGGGTAATGTATGTAAGGTATTTTGTAACGTGTGTTTGGGGTACTTGGTAAGGTACTGAGTAAGGAAGGTAAGGTAGTGGGTAAGGTGGGTAAGGTACTTGGTAAGGTAGGTAAGGTAGTGGGTAAGGTTGGTAAGTTAGTGGGTAATGTTGGTTAGGGATTTAGAGTAAGGATATAGCTTCTCAGTTAGGGTGAGTAATGGGTAAACAGTAAGGTACTGAGTATTATGGTAGGATACGTAGTCGGAAAGGTGGGTAAGGTACAAGGTCATGTAAGTAAGGTACTAAGTAAGGTGGGTAAGGTAGTGGGTAACGTTAGAAGGCTTCTGGGTAGTTTTTGGTTTAGTGTTAAGTGTAAGGATATTCTTCAAGGTAAGGTCGGCAGCCTTATCTTTAGGTAAGCTTCACATATGCCTTTGTTAAACGCTACTGAGCAGACCAGCAGCAATTTGTGTTTTATTAACACGAAACGCCATCGTAATTATAATCTTGTATGGAAATATCGTGTTGCAATATCTCTATTGCTTTGACATTTATTTTCTGCGGGAATATTGTGTTGGATTATTTCATTCAACTTTAAAGAAATTAAAGTTAAAGTGGTGGGTAAGGTGTTTATGATACTGAGTAAGGTAAGTAAGGTAGTGGGTAAGGTTGGTTAGCTTGTGGGTAGTTTGGGTATGGTGTTTGTCTAAGGATATGCTTCAACATATGGTCGGTAAGCTTCTGTGTTAGGGATCAGGTAAGGTTACGGTTAGTGAAAAGGGTTAAGTGAGGTAGTGGGAAAAGTGGGTACGCATCTTTGTAGCCTAGTTAAGAGGTTAATAGTAAGGTAAAAGGAGAAATATGTTGATAGGAAGGGTAAGGTAGTCATTACTTGTTTAACTATGTGCTATGTACGTACTAGTTTATAATAATTTATACAATGTTTATAATAGTGTATGCTTTACATTCACCGTAACCCTAACAAGGCCACTTTACTTAGTACCTTACCTACCTTACCCAGTACCTAACCCTGACCATATATGTTTCTTGGCAGATCAATGTTCGTGTAAGTACACAGGACAACCATTTAATAATGTACAAAAATAAACTGTTTCGCTATTTAATTTTAAAATTCAATACCTTTCTCTCACTCCATTTCAGAATCAGAAAAAAATGGAAAGTAACGTTGACGATAACGAATTCGTGGTCCAAGCGGTTGAAGGTCTTCAAACTTTTGTACGGAACGAGCTGGTAAAAATGCGAACATTGGTGAACGAATTTAGAGACAGGGAGAAAGAGTATGTTGCGAGAATAGAGGCATTGGAAAGACAAAACGATAACATGCATGCTCTAGAAAAGGACAATAGAGAATTGAAAGAAGAAATTTCACAACTCAAAGCGGAGAATATACGGATATGGAGCAACATTGACTCGGGGTCGCACAAACAGTGTGCTGCAAAGATGCAGACGGCTTTTACGGCTGGATTGGCCGCAGTGATGGCGTCGGCTCAACAAGATGACTCATCGCAGTATCCTCACCATAACCTAATTTCTGCAAGTCCTGTGTGGCCTATTACTAGTACGCCAGAAGACCGAAATAAGAAGGCTACCCTCAGTTTAAGGCGCAAGTGTCCGCCATCTACAAGCCAGTAAGTAAAGCTTTTCGTTTCCATTTTTCTATTGCGGTCACATGAACTTATTCATCAAAAGTATTTTAACGTTGGCAATGATTAACCTTAACCTTGGTTTACGGATTGACGTGCCACGGGGCGGTAAAGATTTAAGGTAGTTTATAATTAATTTCTGATAAAAGACGAAGTAAAGGTTCTGATAAGGTGGTAACTGAAAATTACTTTTCATACCTTAAATGTTCGATGTCGTTAGTTAACGGGGCAGGCTAAATTTCGTCATTTCCACTGCTGTTTCTTAATATTTGTGTATTGCATTGGGGTGAAGCTCGATTTAAAATTGATATTTGTTCAAATTTTGGCATTATTGGGCATTGAATATTTAAAAGGAAAGGGTCATTAATTTTCTGTACACTTATAACTCTCTATATACATGGATTTTAAATGAAAAGAATCCTTCAAATGCGCGGAAAACAAGTGAAAAATTGCAGACTTGGTTTGATTGTGTCTGTTAATTGGCAGTTTTGCAAAAACGCAACACTGTCCACGCCCCTACATGGTTCGTACAGTCTTAAAAAGTGCTTAAATTTGAGTCCCTTTCTTAAAAAGTGCTTAAAAATGAAAAAAAGTGCTTAAAAGTCCTTGAATTTGATTACTCTCTTGAAAAGTGCTTAAAAAGTGCTTAAATATGCTGAAAATGTGCTTGAAAAATTTGAAACACAGAAAATACATTGTTTCGATATAAAATTAACAAAGTAAAAAGAAAAATGATCGCAATTTAGTATCAAAATCAAATAAAATGTTTACTCAAGGTAACAGTAAGTGGGCAAATTGCAGTTGTTTTTGAAACTAATCTGTATTTGATGAGCCTTTCTTGTATTTCTTCTATAAATTCCTTAAAAATTGTGGTCAGAAAATGTGTATTCAACAAAAAATGGCAAATAAACTACCCATCTTCGATTGAAAATTGTGTTGGTATATGTGCAACAAATGTGCTTGAAAAATGGGAAAACATGCTTAAATAGTGCTTAAAAAGTCCTTGAATTTTGGCATTGAAGATCTGTATGAACCCTGCCCTAGCACCAGCATAAGCGATATAAAATCTTCAAAACTAAATGTGTTGAGATCAATGATATCCCAAAGGAACCTCTGTTATCTAAATGTGGCTATTGATGATATACATATTTTACTTTTTTATTTATTTCTAGATTGAACACCACCTTGGAAGACCTCGAAGAAAATATCAGAGAGAGCATTAAACCGTTTTATAAGCCGGACCGGAGAGCTAGTGCTGACTTGCTAACTGAAGTACAACGGGCATTTGTAAAGTATCGGGTATCCACTATGTTGAAAAAAAAAAAAGAGGCAATATCTCCCGCACGGATTGAACAGCTAATAGCCGAGGGCGTCGAACATAGAATATGGCTCGAGGGTTTTGTGGTCGGAGAGGGCACCAGCGATTTCAATAGCTACCTCTTGAATAGAATTAGAAACGAAAAAAAAGGCACTATCCAAAAAAAAGGCAATGAAACGTCAGCACGACATGATCTCAGACTTTTTAATTTTACAGTGTGAGGATGATCAATCGACAAGTTCAAAGTGAGAGATAAGAAACAATGTGTAAATAGGGGGCAGTGCAATGATGCCTTACTTATATTAGAAAAAGGACTATCAAGGCTGTGAATATTAGGGCTATGTGCAATATGTTTACCTTAATTTCACGTTGATTTTACTTTGATTTATGTTTGTACCAATTACTTTGTAACAATTATTTCAAATCACTTTTTCCTCCACCTGTATCAAGGGGTCAGCAGGAGATGAAGGCTGTAAATATATGGGATTGTGCAATAACGCCTTACTTATTAGAAAAAGGACTATCTAGGCTGTGAATATTAGGACTATGTGCAATATGTTTACCTTAATTTCACGTTGATTTTACTTTGATTTATGTTTGTACCAATTACTTTGTAACAATTATTTCAAATCTCTTTTTCCTTCGCCAGTCTGACGGGGTCAACGTCCCGCGGAGGTGAACGTTGATAGCAACAGATCGATACCCCGTTGCTGTTGATGGCCAACAACGATCAGACGTATATTATACCTTTTATAAAAATAATAAAGAACCACTAAATTATCTATCTAGTTTTAGGGTACTATGAATTTCATGTAATTATATGCCCAATATTACATCACAAATATGTATACTTTAAGATAGATTTTAAATGTATCTCTGTTTGTCCGTTCGTGTTAGTGGGTACAAGCACAAATACATTTGACAAAATCGAGTGCGTCTAAGAAAATTGACGTTTTTCATAATTTTCATCTATGAATTATAACTTTAATTGTTAATATATTTTTAAAATGATACATCATATTGCAGGGCCATATGTATGCTTTGATATAAGAAAACACATTTAAAATATATATTTCTTTTTGTCCGTCGGTGTTAGTGTGTATGAATTATAACTTTAATGATTAATTTATTTTTATAAATAAACATCATATTGTAGGGCTATATGTGTACTTGAAGATAAAGTAATCCATTTTAATACATGTCTGTCTGTTCATTCGAGTTAGTCTGTACAAGTATATATACTTTTGACATAATTTCGCTCGGCTTACAAAATAGGCTTTTTAAATCATTTTCAAATATGAATTATGACATTAAAAATTAATATATATATATATATATATCTTTAAAAATAATGCACCATATTGTAGGACTGTCTGTGTATTAAGATAAATTAATGCACTTAAGTATATGTCTGTCTATCCGTCCGTGTTTGTCGGTAAAAGTATTTATACTTTTGAACAAATCGCGCGAGGCTTACAGAATTGGCGTTTTTCATCATTTTCGACTATCAATTATGACATTACTTGTTGAAATATATATATATTTTAAAATAATGCAACATTTTGTAGGGCATAATGCATTAAATATATGTATGTCTATCCGTCCGTGTTTGTCTGTACAAGTATATATATACCTTTGACAAAATCGCGCGGCTTACAAAATTGGCGTTTTTTTTTATCATTTTCAACTATAAATTAGGACATTAATTTTTCAAATATTTTTATAAATAGTACACCATATTGTAGGACTATATGTGTTCTTTAAGTTAAAAAAGAAATTTGAATATATGTCTGTCCGTCCGCCCGTGTTAGTGTTTAAAAGTCCATACACTTTCGGTAAAATCGCGAGAAAAAGCGCGACGACTGAATTTTCGTGCATTTTTACATATGTATTTATTGATAAATTATGACATTATTTAAGAGTGTATCTTTGTTATTTTTTTTATCTTTAATTCATATTAAGTACTTCATAACAAAAAAAATCATATTGATATATTGGTCCAATTATTGTTTAAAGTTATTTTATATAGGTGTATAAAACGGAAAAAATAGGTACGGAAAATTAGAGTAATATGTGATTTAACGTGAATAACTCACAGACGGACACACAGACGACTAATATATTTTCAAAAACTGTATGGTTTAACATAATTTAGTACTTAGAATATCTTAATCTTTATTTTTAAGCTTATTATTTTACAGATAAGTACATTTCATCAGGCTTTAGGCTTAATTACACATAGACAGACACACATGTATACATTATTTTAAGATATTCCTCTTAACGTGATGGTACACTATACAAAGATTGTTTAATTAGAAATAGAAAATGATAGTAAATTATTTTCACTGTCATTTTTGTGTCATTTTACGGCTATTTTCATGGTTCTCGGGGTATATGTAAAGATTTTCGATCCCGTACGGACGAACGGATGAAATAAATATAATAAATTATACGTGTTTTTGCTCATATATGTTCACAGTACAAGCTAAACATAAATTCATTTTTTCAATTCAGCGTTTTAAGCCACACAACAATTTTACATATACGTGTCCTGCACCGCTGATAGAAAATTGCAAATTTTGGGCGTGGGTCATAACTTCGAGTAAAAACTTGCCATAAACTCGATCTGAGAGCCCTGGTGGAACCAGGAATCGCAAGATAAGGTGTAAACCCTTGACACTTACCTTGTTTAAAATAAGCCAAAAACTTATACAAAAATGTTTATCACGTTTCCAAAATTACATTTTTTTTGCAGAAACATCCCAAGATGTTACACCAGCCAGTGTTTTATCTCAGTTACTAACTAGTTTATATACTATCACTGTTTTATCGTATTTTCTTTTCCTTTTTTGTACTAGAAATCAGAAAAAGAAAATACAAAAATACTCCCAGATAATATGAACCAATACCAGCTTATGATGTCGTAAGCTACCTTACAACTATATATAATTTTGAAAAAAAAAATAAATTAAAAACAAAAACATCCAATGATACAGACGGATTGTAAACTGATAGTTATACGGATTTAAGGGCTTATTTAGTGAAAATGATTCATGTAACGGATGTACCTTTTGATTTCAGCAGTTGCATAATTATATAAGAATAAATAATTTCATTAATTTTCTGTCTTACTTATATTACTAACTTTATTTCCCTATATGATTCAATGCAAAAATGTACTGCTATATACCAATACATTTTTCAAATGCTCATAGAAAGTGTACTGTGTATGATGGGTTAGAAAGAACAAAGAAAAAGTTTCAAACCATGCGATAACTTCAGGAAAACTAAACAAGGTAAGTGATTAAAATGATTCTTTTTATGGTTTTAAGAGAATAATTGGATTATACTTATATTCCAATGAAATTGATCAAATCCTCGCTTAAAGTCATGAAAAAACATATATGTATAATTTCGACTTCTATATAAATTTGAAAAGTGCCGTACGGCTAGACAATACAGTGTGTCCTGGCTAGTCGTACGTGACTCACGTACGGCTAGAACTTTAGGCTAGCCGTACGGGCCCGTACGGCTAGCCACTTCCTTATTAATTATTGTAATCAAACTAAGTGACACACATTCGTTCTAGGGGAAAAAAACTTATTTATTTGCTACGATATAAAATAGAATATCTAATCCAAAACCGGGAGAGACCGGACAATACACATGTGATACTATTCGTCGGTCTCTAGTAAACCCCGGTCAAAATAGACCGCGAATTACCGATAGGAGACGGTAATAGGACATTTCGGACCATGGACATTTCGGACCAGACACTTCGGACCAGATTTTGGGACACTTCGGACCATATTTCGGGACATTTCGGCCCAGATTTTTGGACATTTCGGACCATGTGTTGGACATTTCGGACCTGAGTTACACACTTCGGACCATTGTTTTGGACATTTCGGACCATGTGTTATATACTTCGGAACATTGTTTTGGACATTTCGGACCAGATTAAATATTATTTTATGAAATTAGACATCAATTAATCAATAAACTAAAGAGTAGCCAATTGAAGTTGGAAGATGGCATAGTATTCCAATACCAGAAAGAAAATGTCAATTATGTCACATACATATTGGTGATGAATTTCATTATGTACTTGAATGTAAAAATTTCATTGATGATAGAAAAAAGTTTGTTAAAGCATACTATTATAGACATCCAAATATACTGAAATACAATCAATTATTTAATAGTGAGAATAAAATTGAATTAATCAAATTATGTCAGTTTCTAGAGATAATAATGAAAAATGTTAAAGTAAGCTATAATTAATATATTTTTGTTTTTTTTTTTTTTTTTGATAAAAATGTTTAAAACAATTATAAATGCATGAACATGTTTATATATTTATGTAAATATGGTGTATGCTTGTATATACATGTATGTGTATGTGTGTAAGTATGTGTTTATGTATATATAAAATAAAATAGGTATATATATGTGTGCTAACTTGCAAGTTTATATGATATATATTTGTGTTAGGAAATTTTTGTGAGAATGAATGGTCAAGAACCTATTATATATACATATATATTTTACCTAACCTGTTAACTGTTTTTATGCTAAAATGTACTGGCATGCATGCTATAAGTTTTCTTACATTTCGTTTCGGTAAGATTTCTTGCCAAAAGCATAAGCATGTCAATTATTAACAAAAAAACAAAACACTCCTTCATTTTTGCACATGCTTTAAAATAAATAAACATCAGAAAATAGTCAGAAGAAGCAATAATGAAGAAAAATATCAATAATAATAACATATAAGTTCAATAGCAAATTACCTTTATATTTTGATCGGATAATACTTAAACTCAAAATAAAAAGCATGTCTGCAAATACATTTGCTAACGCGTTAACCATCTATTGTATAAGGCGACTAGTATCCCATTCATAATAATATCTACAAATGCATATATTTTTACTTACTTATTTTTTTCTGTACAGTTGAGAATCAACGTTAAATTTGAATTAGAAATCAAATCGGTACCACAGAGATAAGAAAAAACTCAAAAACTTCCAATTTAATGAAAACAAAACCAAGATTAACAATTAATTGTTAACACTTACGTTTCCCTTAATGACAGTAGCACTGCAACACTAGTTTTCGGCATATCCAGCTACTGCACAATTTCATAGTAAAATGTATCCAAAATCACTCGCAAACTTCAGAACACTGCTTAATTCCAGTAGAAATAAATCCATAAACACTTTCTGTGAATAACTAAAACCCCACGTGAGACCGCGTAACTTAAGGCCCGTGAAATAAGGAAATAAATAAACCCCGCAAAAAATGTGTTAAAATTCAGTCGACACAATTTCGATACATTAAACTTTACAATCAGTTTAAATCTCTTATAAAAACAAATACTGTCGTTTGCCCGATATTTTGCATGACAGGTGTCAAAAGATGATTATGTGAAATAGACATCATTTTATGTTATTTTCAACACGTGGTCAAATCAGCTGTTTATAAATATTAATTATGCTGCAGAATCATTACACTATAAACACTAAATAATTTACTTCCTACTGAACGAAAGAAGCAAAAATAAATAAACAATAGATGGTTAATCTTTTTATGTATTGTGATTGTTCTCTGTAAATGACTTGCCATGTATGTATTGCCGTTTTTACAAATGTTAATTGTTATATACCTTATGTTTGTATCATGTATGATGCACTGAGAGAAATAAAGAATTTGAATTTGAATTTGAGTATATATATTAGACACCATGGAAACGATTCTACACCTATCCCGATTTAGATGATATATATTTTGCAATAAAAATGAAGAAAATTAAGGGGAAAAAACAACAACAAAAACAAAACAAGCAATGTTTTGGTGACAAACGTTTGCAAACAATTTATTATAAAGTATATACAAAAAGACATGACGAAATATAACTTTTTTTCAGTTTGTAAGCTGTATAGTTATGAAGATGAAATCAATTTCCACATTGTGTTATATTGCACTCTGGACATCAAATTTTTGACAATTAATCCATTTGTTTGTTGTTTATTGTTGATTTAAACTGTACTTTAATCGAATTCCAATCAAACCAATCAATTTAAATATTTGTTGTCAAATTAGGTAAATATAACAATACATACTTCATTAATCGGGTGAAAGGTGACACAAACCAGTTCTTTTCAGCAATTAAAACGTGTGAAAAACTGCATTGCCAAGGATGTCGATCGTTGTTCTTTATTACCTGCCAGAACACAATTTAACTTGGTAAAAATTTACTCTAAATGTACGTAAATCAATTTCAAAACATCCTGAAATAACAAATAATCATATATAAAAAAGGGACAAAATGGTCT